CAGCAGCAGCAGGGGCCAGGCGTGGAACAAAGGCGACTTCAGCAGCAGCAAAGGGGAGCTGCTGCTGCTGCTGCTGCTTCATATGATTGTTTGCATTTTGTTTCTTCTTTTCCCTTTCTGTTGTCTCTTTTGCTGCTGCTGCTGCTTGAAAGTGCTGCAGCAGCAAAGCAGCAGCAAAACGCGCTGCTGGTTTCGTTTTCTGCTGCTCCTTTTGCCCCTCGTTCCTGCTGCTGCTGCTGCTGCTGCTGCTGCTGCTGCTGCTGCTGCTGCTGCAGTTTTTCCTTCTTTTGAGCATTTCACTTGTTTTTTCTTTTTGTTTTTTTAAACAAAAAAGAATTAAAAATAATTTTCGAGTTTCGTTTTTTTGTCAGCAAAGGCGGAAAGTTGAATTTCTCGTTTAATTAATTTTATTTTTAAATTTGAAGTTTTAATTTAATTCGTTTTAATTTATTTGTTTTATTTGTTTTAATTTATTTGTTTTATTTGTTTTATTGTTTTATTTGTTTTATTTGTTTTAATTGTTTTATTTGTTTAAGTTATTTGTTTTATTTGTTCTATTTGTTTTAATTGTTTTAATTGTTTTAATTGTTTTAATTGTTCATTTGTTTTAATTGTTTTAATTGTTTAATTGTATTAATTGTTTAATTGTTTTAATTGCTTTGATTGCTTTATTTGTTTTAACTGTTTTAATTGTTTATTTGTTTTAATTGTTTAATTGTTTTAATTGTTTATTTGTTTTAAATGTTTTAATTGTTTTAAATGTTTATTTGTTTTATTTTGTAATTGTTTTAATTGTTTAATTGTTTTAAATGTTTTAATTGTTTTAATTGTTTATTTGTTTTATTTGTTTAATTGTTTGAATTGTTTGAATTGTTTTAATTGTTTATTTATTTTAATTGTTTTAATTGTTTGAATTGTTTGTTTTCTTTGCTGCAGCAAATGGCGGAAAACTTGGGCGAAAAAATTTGCAGCGGAAAAGACGGCAGCGGCAGCAGCGGCTGGTCGGTGCTGCAGTTCGCTCGGGTGTACGTACACCTGAAAACGCGGACCATGCGCAGAAGATACGCCCTTGATCTTCTCCACAAACATTCCCCGAGAATTGATTTAAACCCTATTCTAAACCCTGAACCCTAAACCCTAAACCCTAAACCCTAAACCCTAAGGCCCAGACAACGAACTAACTCCCAAGGGCCACGCCCAGCAGCAGCTGCGCACCAACGCACCGCCAACCCACAAACCCTAAACCCTAAACCCTAAACCCTAAACACTAAAAGGGAGGAAGTCGGACAAGTGCACTTGGCGCGGTGCGCCGACAGAGGAGCACTGCGCAACTCGAGAGGGTTTAGGGTTTAGGGTTTGGGGTTTAGGGTTTGCAACCCCTGGCAAACCTGCCGTTTCTTTCATTTTTTTGAAATTCAAGAAATAAAATAAATTAATTTGGAGACTCAAAAGAGAAAAGACGCAAAATATTAAAAAGAAACGAAAGTGTTCATTTATTTCCTCGCGGGACTTGCACACCGAGCTGTACGTACACCTCGGCGCATGCAACTTTCTCCACCTGCGCATGCAGCTGTACGTACACCTCAGTGCATGCAGCTTTCTGCACTTGCAAAGACAATTTAAACTTTTAAAAACAATAAAACTCAGTCTTTTTAATTCGACTCTTTGCTGGCACAAAGCTGTACAGACACGGGTTTAGGGTTTAGGGTTTAGGGTTTAGGGTTTGGGGTGTCCGCCACGCGGACACCCCTGAACCCCAAACCCTAAACCCTAAACCCTAAACCCTAGGGGAGCGGGTTGAGTACCCCCTGCGCGTTTCAGCAATTTTGCACTTTTCAAAAGAGACATTTAAATGCATGCAGATGCAATTTAATTATTTAAATTCTGCAAATTAAAACTTTTTGATTTTTGTCCAAATGCGCTGCAGCTGGTCTTCAAGCAGAAATTAATTGCATTTTATTTTTGCAATTAATCCGAATTTTGAAATTCAATTTTTAATTTCAATTTTCGAATTTTAAAATGCAATTTTTAATTTCAATTTTCTAAATTCTGCAATTCTTAAATTCTATAGTGGAAGTGGAGAGGTGTGCCAATGCTGCCTGTGTCTCATAGACTCTCTGGCTGCTGCTGCTGCTGCTGCTGCTGCTGGGCCTGCTGCTGCTGCTGCTGCTGCAACAGCAGCAACTATAGCCATCGGTGGGCGCATAAAAGGAAAGACAGAGATTTACTTTCAGAAGTTCTTGCTGCGCTGCTGCTGCTGCTGCTGCTGCAGTGCCAGCAGCAATGGACACTGCGCGGCAGCAACAACCACACTAGCCAGTTGCTGCTGCTGCTGCTGCTGCTGCTGCAGCTGCAGCAGACCGGCAGCTGCAACGGTGAAACCACGTGCTTGAAACAGCAGCCACTGCAGCAGCAGAAGCAACGGCATCAACCGCAGTAGCAATAGCAACTGCAGCAGCAGCAACTGCAGCAGCAGCGGCAGCAGCAACTGCAGCAACAGCAGCAGCAGCAACTGCAGCAGCAAGTGCCTTCAAGCAGCTCGCCGGCCTGCCTTTAGGCAACCCCACCGGCTGGCGGCGGCACCACCAACTTGTCCTGTGACTGCATGCAATTAAATTGCATTTTATTTTTATTTTTGATTATTTAAATATATTTATATTATTTAGGTTATATTATTTATTCTCTTCAAGAAGAAGAAGAAGAAGAAAGGTCTGTTGCAGTGGGAATGCTGGGGGCGGGCAGGCGGGCAATGATTTCCTTGAGGTCGTCTGGGGTGTACTGTTTGAACCTGCGGCAAAGAGAAACGAAAACGAAAACAAAAAACGAAATAAAAATCAAAATTAAAAATAAAATTTAAAACTAAAATAATAAATTAAAACAACGAGGAAATAAAACCCGCATTCCGACTCACTGACACGACCTGCTGCTCGCCCGAAACGCAGAAAGCGGTGCAGCTTCGCGCTTTCCGCTGCGTTTTGCGTTTTATTTCCAGTTTTTAAGTTCAAATTTGTTTTATTTTATTATTTTTAATTTATTTATTTAATTTTGGCCAAAAATTTGCAGCAATTGCTGCGCACTTCGTCTCTCCTACGCGCAGCGCCGCCATTTCCACATTACTTGAATTCAACTTTTCCTCCATCACCTGCCGCAGCACCACCAGGGCCAGATCTTCAGCAGCTGCAGCAAATATTGAAAAGAAAATAAAAAAGAAAAGAATTAAAAAAGAAAAGAATAAAAACAAATAAAGTGGTCATTAAGATTTCAATTTGCTGCCTAAAAAGCCCGCGAAACCCCGAAATGATGTCTTGAATGACTCAGGCTCTTTTGGTCGTTTTCTCTCTTTTTGTGATCTACAGATTTATCTCTTTTTTTCATTTCAAATTCTCCTTTACATTTAATCATAAATTCATTTTTGCGAATTTAATTATTAGTGAAGTATTCGCTCATTTGTTGATTTCTGAATGCCTTCTTTTCGCGCCTTGGTTCGCCGCCCAGTTGTCGGCAGTCGAAATATGCTGCTTTCTGTACATGGATCCATCTATTTAATTCTCAATTTTAATTTATTATTATTTATTTTATGATCTATTTAATTCTCAAATTTAATTTATTATTATTTATTTTATGATTCTTTTTCGTTTTACATTCATTTGTACCTTCCATAGACATGTTTTCGTTGTACTGCTCCTGCAGCATCGCCTCTGCGCCCTCCTGCGCTGAGCCCATCGCCACGGCCAAGTACTTCGTGACAGTGCCTGAAAGCGCAAAAAAATGGAAATAAAAAAGCGAAAAATAAATTAAAACGAAACAAATAAATAAATGGAGAAAATAAAACAAAGAAAGGAAATAACTTTCCCTTTGTTCGGCCCGCGCTGCAGAGTGCCGACTGCTGCTGCTGTGCAAGTCCGGGCATCGGGAGCAAACTGCCTCTGGAAACTCTGGGAAAGCGAACTGAAAAGAGAAGAAAACAAACTTAAAATTAAAAATAAATAATTAAATAAAATATTTATTTAAATTACCCGAGGGATCAGCACTATACAGCGCCGGACCCTCTTTGTCCACTCCCCCCACGATCAGCGCCACCCCAAAAGGCCGGCTCATGGTTTTCTTGCGGCGCCCAGAGCCCACATCTGCAGCAGCAAATCAAATTTAAAAGATTAAATGACTCAGAATTGATTTAAAATAAAACAATTAAACAAAAATAAAACAACTCAACAAGTTAAACCATCAAAAAGACACCAAAGGCGCGGGCAGCCGCCACTCACATTCACTTGCATTGCAAAAAACTTTTCAGATTCCCAACTTGTGGCCTACGCCCCTCACTAAGCTAGCACTTTAATTATATTTAATATATCCTTTTCTATAAATAAATATATGTATATATATCATATATATACACACATATATATATATACAAATTTAAAGTATAACATACGCAGAATATGAATAATGTATGGAAATAAATGTGTATATATATGCATGTATATATTTTTAAACATTCATACAAGTGCATATCTTTGCAGGCAAATGCAGAATGAGTTTCTGCGCTTCTTTTCAAAGGCAGTTTGACTTATTTTGTGTTCATGAAATGGCTTTGCTGAGGCGCTTGGAAAGCACCCAAGAGGAGGCGCAGCAAACAAATAAACCAGCAGCAGAACTGCAGCAAAATAAAAAGAAAATAAAAAGAATTAAATTGAAATAAAAATAAAACTAACCCGAAAAGTCCAGAGCCAAGTCCGCCACTGCGTCCACGCAACTCCGGACACTCATCTTTTCGTTGAAGGTGAAGAAGTGGTTTGCGCATTCCACCCGCGCGTGGTCTATGAGGGTTCTGAGCAGCAAATGAATTCAAATCAATTCAAATTAATTCAAATTAATTCAAATGAATTCAAATGAATTCAAATGAATTCAAATTAATTCAAATTAGTTCATTTTAAGTGGAAAAGGATGGAGAAAGAAAGAGCATTACAGCGCCAATGCAGGCTCGGCTTTCCCAAATGTCACAAGGCACAAGGTAAACTGCAGAAAGTGAAATGCAGAAACTCAGCAGCAAAGAAACAGCGTGCAACTTCTGCAGTTTGAATGAAGAAAAAACAAAAATAAAACCTTTAATAATAATAATAATAATAAACAAAGATAAAAGAATTGCTGAATATACTTTTTCCCGAGTCAATTGGTCCACTTCACACCCAGCAGCCAAACTGCCGCAGCCAGCGGGCGGCGACGACCCTGGGGCCTTTTGCCGTCAAAACCGCACGAAACGAAAGAACTAAAGACAATTTAATGAATTTATTGAATTAAAAAGAAGAAATGTGCTTTTTTTCGGGTCGGATCTTGCAGAAAAAGGGGAAGATCGCACCTGGCGTCGGCGATGAGGCCACTCATGGCGCAGGCGATGTGGGTGTCCACCTCTGCAATTTTCTGAATTGACTGCGGCTCCAAAAGACAAGAAGTTATTCTTCTTTCGGAGGCCAAAACGACTCCGTCTTTTGTTTGAATTCCAATCGCAGTGCTCCCCAGTTTGATGGCGCCCAGGGCGTACTCCACCTAAGAAAGCAAGAAAGCAAACATGAATTATGTATATATATATATACATATATATATACATAAAATATATATAAATGTGCATTTTTTGAACATTAATTCATATTTGTTTGCAGGCAAACGCAGTGGCTGCGATTTGGCACTGCAAGCGGCCCAGAAGCAAACGTGAATGCAGCAAACGTGAATGAAAGCAGCAGCAGCAGCAGCAGCAGCAGCAGCACGCGGTATATATGCAGAGGCGCGAAGCAAATGGAATTCAAATCCACAATAATGGAATTAAAAGGCATTAATAACTTCTTTAAATTCAAATAAGCCGGAGATTCCATTCACCTGAAACAAACGGCCCTCGGGCGAGAAGGTGTTGACGCCGCGGTCATATTCGCTCCTGCAAACATGAACAAATGGAAAAGCAGAGCCTCTTTGCGGCATTTTTGGAATTTTTCATTTCATAAAGTTGCATGCAATCCTTTTTTGCCAATTAATTCGCTTATGCATGCGCCAGTTCATTCATTTGTTCAGTTTCCTGCGCCTGCTCTTGAAGGCGAACTGTTGCAGGTTTCTCCAGTTCACATTTTCCAGCAGCAGCGCTGCACACGAATAAAATATAAATATAAACCCAAAAGACTTCGCAAATATTCGCAAAATGCAAAAGAGAAAACAAAATTTCAAAAAATTTCTCCGATTGGGTTCGAACAAGGGAGAAACGGAGAGAAACAGAGTGGCAATTGAATGGGCAAAGTGGATGCGAATGAACTTGAATTGAAGCAAATTGACTTCGACAGATTCCCAATGGCACTTCAGCAAATAAATAATTCAAAACTTGTTCATTAAAAGGCAAAAGATCTGCGTGAGGTCTTTTGCCACAACAGTGCGAAAAGGCGCCAACGGGGGGCATTTTTGTTGGTTTTTGGACTTAAAAAACGAAAAGGAATATTCCATTTGATTTAATTAGCACAGATTCAAAAGAATAACATCCTATGCACGTCAAAACTCGAAAGTTTCCATGCTTTCCTTCAGGAAGCTGCGGCAAGTGGCATTCAAATCCGCACTGGGGTCAGTGCGCCGGCTCGTTTTGCTTCTCATTCAAATTGAATAGAAGCAGCAGAAAGCCCGTCAAACAACACAAAGAAAATGCGCAGTTAAGTCTTCTGTTTCTGCATATCTTGGTGAACTCCGGGCTCCCTTGTTGCAGGAGGGTGGAAGCTGAACTGCCAGTTTCAGCGCTCACAGCCCATTCCAGCCGGCTTCTGGCAGTCTATTTGCATTCTTTAGTGCAATTTAAATGAGAAAAGGGGAAAATAAAAGATTCAAAAGTACTTTCTTCGGCAGACGAGTAAAGCTGCTCATTGTACCTGGTGGTGAACATCCTTGCAGAGGCGCCGCCGAGCCGCAGCTCTCCGTGCACTCGGCGTCTCGAGGGAAGTTGGGAAAACAAGAAAAGAATAAAACGAAATATAAAAAGGAATTACAATTTCCTTCTTCGCAAATGGCACACACAAGGAGTTCCTGCTGCAGCCGCCTCGCATGCAGCAGTCGGCGAAGACGGGCTGGACAGCGGCTGCTGCTGCTGCTGCTGCTGCTGCTGCTGCTAGGTTTCCAGTATCAACCGCAGTGAAATAGTTGGTTTTTATTGGCATTTTGCCTTTTATTCCCCATTAGAGACTCATATAGCCGTCTAATTAGTGCCTAATTGCCCAGTTCTTCGGCCAAGTGGTGGTCGGCTGCTGCTGCTCACTGTTGATGCTGTGCAAGAACATAAATAATTTGCCTGTACCTCCAAAGACAAACTCATTTTCTGTTTCTTTTCTTTAAAGTGAGTCTTCAGAGCCCCAAGGAAGTACTTTTCTTTTCTTTTCTCATTAACAAAATGCTTATTGCCTCACTTAGGCTTTTAATTAGTCCTTTTCTTTTTGTGCATTTCCTAATTTTATAGCCACAAGAGCAGCAGCAGCCCGTGCTGCTGTTCTGCTGCTCCACCCTATACGCTGCAGGCAGCCACAGCCACAGCAGCAAAACTGAATGCCTCAAATAGATTTCAAAAAATAAAGAGCAACAAAAGTCCTTCATATAATAATATAATCCTTTATATGCTTCTAAGTGCTGCTGAGTGCAGCGCAGAGCCCTGCTAATGCCCCCATTCAAAGTAGGGGGGCCCCTGGGGGCCCCTGGGGGCCCCTAGGGGCCCCTGGGGGCCCCTGAGGGGCCCCTTGCTGCTAAGGGGGCCCCAGCAAGAACACGCTGCCTTCCCCACTCCTAAGGGTCTTGTGTTTGGGGGCCCCCCTTGTGCTGCAGCACGAGGGCCCCTCTTGTGCTGCAGCACAAGGGGGGCCCTTGTGCTGCAGCAAGAGTCCCGCAGCAGCAGCAGATTGTGGCTGTTTGCGCACGTGGAGCAGCAGCAGCTGCTGCTGGCACGGGTGCAGCAGCGCAGCAGCAAACCGAAGAGCCGCGGGGTTTTAAAACAGCAAATGAGCAGCAAAAAGTGAAGACAAAAAGAAAAGAAAAATAAATCAAATCCAAACTAAATAAAAGTCTAAAGAGGCAGCTTTCCATTAGCTGCAAAGCAGCAGCTCGAAGCAGCAAATGGACTTGCTGCTGACTCCCCTGCTGCTGCTGCTGCTGGCTGCCCTGCTGCTGCTGCTGCTGCTGCTGGCTGCCCTGCTGCTGCAGCTGCTGCTGGCTGCCCTGCTGCTGCTGCTGCAGCTGCGGCCTTTGTTTTTGCTGCTGCTGCCAGACTTTGCTGCACTAATCAACTACCCTATTGCTATTATATTATCTTGGGGTGCAGCAGACGCTGCAGCAAACAATTCATATTTCACTTGAAGTTTATTGACGCACACTGTGCACCCTAACCCTCGAGGGTTTAGGGTTTAGGGTTTAGGGTTTAGGGTTTAGTCAGGGGGCCCCCCCCCAAACCCCTTTTTGAACCCTTTTGCGTTTATGGGGCCCCCTGCCTTTGCTGCTGTGTTTATTTTTCTTTCGAAAAGAGCCCGGGGGCCCTCTGTGGGGCCCCCTGCGGGGCCCCCTGGGGGGCCCCCCCCGCTGCTGCTGCTGCTGCTGCTGCTGCTGCTGCTGCTGCAGCTGGTCAAAGGCTAGCCGCTGCTGCACCAAAAAGGCCCCCGCAGTGCTGTCTTGCTGCGTCAAGACTACAGCAGCCGCTGCAGCAAAAGCAGACAAAATATAAACATAAATATAAATATAAACATAAATATAAATATAAATATAAATATAAATATAAATATAAATAAATATATATTAAAATATAAATATAAATAAATATATATTTAAAAAGATATTTATTGAATTATATATTTGTGCAACTACTCCTAATGTACATACACTACTATTGGCTTTTGCAAAAGAAAAATAAATTTGAAAAAAAGAAACTCTTGCAGCTCAAGCCTCGAAGTACAGCTCAAATCACGCACAGCAGCAGCAGCAGCAGCAGCAGCAGCAGCAGCAGCAGCAGCAGCAGCAGCAGCAGCAGCAGCAGCTGCAGGAAATAAAAAACAAAGTGCAGCACTTCTTACCCCCCACAGGTTTATTTCTGTTTTTGTCTTTTATCTTTTTCAACTTTCCCAAATCATATTCTCTGTCGTGTCTGCTGCGCTTCTGCGGCAGCGGCTGCTGCAGCAGCTGCAGCCGTTCGAACGCCTGCTGCTCCTTTGCTGCTGCTGCTGCTGCTGCTGCTGCTGCGCCTGCGTCTGCTGCTGCCTCGTCCTCTTCCCAAGAAACTGTCCTGCTGCAGCCAAGTTGCTGCGAGCGACTTGCTGCTGCTTCCTTTCGCTTCAGCATCATTTCAGGCGTCATGACAGATATGCGACGAGGCTGCTGCTGCTGCTGCTGCTGCTGCTGCTGCTGCTGCTGCTGCTGTTGCTGCAGCAGAGGCTGCACCTGCTGCTCCTGCAGCTGCCGCCGCTCTTGCCGCTGCACCTTCCTATGGTGCTGCTGCTGCTGCTGCTGCTGCTGCTGCTGCTGCTGCTGCTTCCTGTAGCAATCTTTTAGCCGCCGCATGCTGCTTAAAATGAGGCGGCAGCGAACAGCCAGCAGCAACTTGCGTCTGCGGCTGTTTGTCAGCAGCAGCAGCTGCCGCGTCTGCTGCAGCTGCCGCACCAGGGGGTAAGCTGCTGCTGCAGCAGCAGCTTCTGCTTCTGAGGCCGTGCTGCTGCAGCTGCTGCTGCAGCTGCTGCTGTAGCTGCTTCTGCTGCTGCAGCTGCTCCTGCTCCTGCTGCTGCTGCTGCTGCTGTCGCTCCACTCGTCTTCGCTGATGCTGAAGTCAGAGGCGTCGTCTGCGAAGCTGCTGAGGCTGCTGTCGTCCTCCGCCTCAATGTGCTGCTGCTGCTGCTGCTGCTGCTGCTGCTGTTTGAGCAGCTTGCTGCGCTGCAGCAGCTGCTGCTGCTGCACCTCCCCTTCCGAGGGCAACTTTGCGTAGAACAGCAAATAAGCTTCCTGCTGCAGTCGGCTCAAAACTGCTGCTTCGCTAACTACTGAAACGACTTCATCATCTATGGCTAGCCAGCTGCCTGCTTCCGCTGCCCCTTGGCTAGCTGCTGCTGCTGCTGCTGCTGCTGTTGCTGCTGTTGCTGCTGCTGCTGCTGGCAGCCGCACGAAGGCGCGGTAGTGGCCGGAGGAGAGCGAGGCCCCGGAGTGGGATATTACAGCGAACAAGCGGTACTGGTAAGACGGGCTTGCTGCTGCTGCTGTTGCTGCTGCTGCTGCTGCAGCTGCTGCTGCAGCTGCTGCTGCTGGATCGTCGAGGGCGCTGTCGCCTGCGTCTGCGTCTGCCTCTGCGGCCTTTGCTGCTGCTGCCTTGGCTGCTGCTGCAGTTGCTGCTGCTGCAGTTGCTGCAGCAGCAGCAAGCCGCACAGCGGGGAAGGAAGGGCTGGGGGAGTGGGGCGGCGAAGCCGCGGGCGAAGAGGCGGTGGTGGAGGCGGCCGAGAGCGTCTTCTTATCTGCTGCTGCCGCGTGCTGCTGCTGCTGCTGCTGCTGCTGCTGCTGCTGCTGCAGCAGCCGGAGGAGCTGCTGCTGCAGCTGCTGCTGCTGCTGCTGCGCCGCGTCGGGAGGCACGAAGGGGGCCAGGTTGAGGCGCGCGGGAAAAGCAACTGGGCGGTGGTTTTTTGTTGGAAAAAAACTTTCTTTAAAAAAAGAAATTGAAAATCTCTTCAAAGCAAAAACCAAAACTGAAGGACTGCTGAACAGCTCCAGCCGCTTCTCAGCACTCACCTTCCGCTCGCACCTGCTGCACCTGCGAAACACCCACACCTGCTGCTGCTGCTGCTGCTGCTGCTGCTGCTGCTGCTGCTGCTGCTGCGGCGGCGGCGGCGACGGGGGGCCGCAGCCGCACGCGGCAACTCGGCGGCCAGCCTCTGCAGCTAGGGTTTGCTGAGGCGGAACAGGGTCCGGCTCCGAGCTAGGGTTTAGGGTTTGAAGCTAGGGTTTAGGGTTTGGCGCAAGGGTTTAGGGTTTGGCGATAGGGTTTAGGGTTTGGCGCTAGGGTTTAGGGTTTGGCGATAGAATTTAGGGTCTGGCGCTAGGGTTTAGGGTTTGGGATTAGGGTTTGAGATTCGGGTTTGGCGCTAGGGTTTGGGATTGGGATTAGGGTTTGGGATTAGGGTTTAGGGTTTGTGGCTGGGCGTACATGTAGGCGTTGCTGCCGCTGAGGGTTTCCTTGGCCACAAACCTCTGCAGGGCCTTTTCGAGGGCGAGGGGCTTCTGCGGGGGGGCCCCCCAGCGGGGGCCCCCCAAGCCCGGGGGCCCCCCCCAGCGGGGGCCCCCCAAGCCCGGGGGGCCCCCCCGGGGCCCCCCGGGGCCCCCGGGGGCCCCCGGGGCCCCCGGGGCCCCCAAGTCCAGGGGAATGTCTACAGCACTTTCGAACCTGACGGAGGCCTTTCCACACTCTGTACAGACAACAGAAGATCTGAGCCAGAAGCCGAAGAGGCGGCCGAAGTAGCTGGTGAGAGCGACCTCGGGCTTGACCTCCTTGCGCTGCTGCTGCTGCTGCTGCTGCTGCTGCTGCTGCTGCAGCGCTGCTGCTGCTGCACTCGCAGGGGCCTTCATCAAAGCGTCTATCAAGTACCTGAAGAACTCGTGAGCGTCTTCTTGTCTTCCGGGTCGAAAGGCCTTCCAAATGAAGGGTCGGATGTACCCTGCCAGCAGGTTCGGCGCGAAGCCCTGGGGGCCCCCCCAGGGGGCCCCCCGGGGGCCCCTGTCCTCCCTTTCTGCTGCTGCTTCCTTCCGGTGAATGGCAGCCACTTGCTGCTCCAGTTTGCAGAACGCGCAGAACCTCGCGGCCCCCTCTGCTGCTTCCCCCGGGGGGCCCCCTGAGGGCCAGTCTGGAGAAGCAAGACCTCCTGTGGACTGCAGCAAGACAGTCCTCAGCAAGGCCTGGGGTGTACGCGAAGGCCTGGAGGACAGAGTTGACGAAGCAAAGAGTGTGGGGGTTTGCGAGGCCGCGGCCGGGGGCGGGGGGCTGCGCACACACACGCTGCTGCTGCTGCTGCTGCTGCTGCTGCTGCTGCTGCTGCTGCTGATGCTGCGAGGAGGGGGGCTGCAGCAGGCTGCGCGGCGGCTGCTGCTGCATTGAGTGCGAGGGGGAGGGGGGGAAACAAACGGGAAGAAGCACGACAGACTGCTGCTGCTGGGCACACGCACATGCAGCAGCAGCAGCAGCAAAGCAGCAGCAGCAGCAGCAGCAAGGCAGCAGCAGCAGCAGCAGCAAGGCTGCAGCAGCAAGTAGCTTACCGCTCTCCAGCAGGGAAGCGGCACATCCGCTGCGTCACACAGCACTTGGCTTGCAGGGGCTCGCGGCGGCAGTTCTGCTGCTGCTGCTGCTGCTGCTGCTGGATGCTGCTGCTGCTGCCCCTGCTGCTACCTTCTGGCAGGGCTCTTCATCTTCTGCTGCTGCAACAAACGAAATGCTGCGGTCCGCCAGCTGTATGCAAACAGCACCCGAAGCCTCGGGCATCTTCCACAGGACCAGCTGCTGCTGCTGCTGCTGCTGCTGCTGCTGCTGCTGCTCGAAAAGGCGCGCCTTCTGCTGCGGAAAAAAACACTAAAGGCCTTTTGTTGCTGCTGCTGCTGCAGCAGCTGCTGCCGCCAGCTCCGCCGCACAGGAAGCTGTTCGCGCTGCTGGAGCTGCTGCTGCTGCTGCTGCTGCTGCTGCAGTTGCTGCAGCTGCAGTGTGGCGGCTGCTTGCCTCTTTGTTTGTCAGCTGATGAGCTCTGTTCTTGTTTGTTTTGCTTCTTTGTCTTTGCTGCTGCTGCTGCTCCTTCCTATTTCGGGGCTCTGCGCATTTTGCTGCAGCAGCTGCCCCGCGGGCTTTGCTGCAGCAAGCTGGGCTTGGGTCTTCTGCTGCTGGGGGCGGGGAGGGCGCTGGTTTCTGCAAACCCTAAACCCTAAACCCTAAACCCTAAACCCTAGGCCCTCGCCAGGCGAGAAGGCGCGCCTAGCCGGGCTGGCTCGTGGCTGCGAAAAAGAACTAGAATTGCGTTTCAGTGATTTGCCGAGGAGTCTGCATGCTTGCAGAGACAAAAGGCAAAGCTTTGGATGAATTGGACTCAAATTTCACTTATTTTTCCTCTACAGAAGTCCACAAGTCTCACCTCGCGTTCTCTGCATGCACAAGTGCTGTGGGGATGCTGCTGCTGAGGCCTGCGCGCCGCGGGGTCTCGGCGACTCGAAGCGCAGAAATAAAAGAAGAAATAAATAAACTTGAAAAGAAATTGAAACAAATTCCAATTTGCAAAACTCAGCGTCTCATTCGCTGCTCAGAGTGCCCCGAACTCAAGAAAAGGAAAGAATAAAACAAATGACTCGCCAGCGACTGGCCCTGGCGAGCGGCAGAGCCCTCGGGTGTACGTACACCCGATTCAACTGCCTCGCTTCCCACTATTTTCGCGCGATCTCTAGGAAATTTAAAACGCAATTTACTCCAGAGTTGCAGAAATTAAAATATTTTATTTAATGGTGGAATTTTGGAGGCAGATCGCGGAGAATCTGCAGAGAATCAGCTCCACCAGAGCAGCCTTCCAGTCATTGCCGAAGCAGCCTCGTTCCTCTCCGCCGCAGAAACATCTTTTTAAATGAAATTAAATAATTTAAAGAAACACAAAAGTTTATGTCTCGCGAAACAGAGGCCAGTTAACGCCCCCTCAATGGCAAAAAGCAAAGACAAAACAACTGAGCGGTGTTAAATCCGCTGCTGCTGCTGCTATTGTTGCTGCTGCTGCCACCGCTGCTGCTGCTGCTGCTGCTGCTCCGCCCGGGGTGGACTCATCTCCTCCAGTTTGCCTCGGCATTCGCTTGTGCTGAAGGGGCCACTGCTTGCAACTGCTGCTGCCGCAACTGCTGCTGCTGCAACTGCTGCTGCTGCAACTGCTGCTGCTGCTGCTTCTGCCGCCGTTGCTTCCACTCTTGCTGCTGCTGCTGCTGCTGCTGCTGCCGTTACGTTACTTCCAGCTGGCTTTGCAACAGGGAGCATCGGCCCAGTGAAGCAAAAAGCTCATAGGCAGTGGGCCCATGAGCCGATCAGCAGCAGCAGAAGCAGCAGCAGCAAAAGCAGCAGCAGCAGCAGCAGAAGCAGCAGCAGCAACGACCAGGGCGGCAAAGGCTACGTCGCCTGCGTCGCGACAGGAAAAGCTACAAGTATGCAAAAACAGCAGCAAAAAGTGCAGGTGCAGCAGCAGCAGCAGCAAAAGCAGCAAAATGAGCAGCAGCAGCAGCAGCAGCAGCAGCAGCAGCAACAACAACACAAAAACCATAGATAGGCGGCGGCACAAGCCGCATCTGTTCACTTCGTGCCGTTCGCCACGAATAAGAAAACAAAAAAACGCAGCAGCAGCGGCAGCAGCAGCTGCTGCTGCTCACTTCATCGCTGCTGCTGCAGCAGCTGCAGCTGCTGCGGGCTGCCCACGCTGCAACGAGCAGCTGCTGCTGCTGCTGCTGTGGGAGCCGCAGGCAGCCAGCTGCTGCCCCACATTCAGCAGCAAAACAACAACAAAAAATAAGTGAAGAAAAGTGGAGAGTGGACAGCGAGCTGCAGCTGCCGAGCTGTCGATACACCGCACAGCCGCTGCAGCAGCAGCGGCTGCAGCAGCTGCTGCTGCTGCAGCGGCTACGCGAGACTGCTGCAGCGGCTGCCGCTGCTGCAGTGGCTACGCGAGACTGCTGCAGCGGCTGCCGCTGCTGCAGCCGCCCGACGACGGGCTACGCGAGACTGCTGCAGCGGCTGCAGCTGCTGCTGCTGCTGCAGTGGCTACGCGAGACTGCTGCAGCGGCTGCCGCTGCTGCAGCCGCCGCTGCTGCAGCCGCCGCTGCAGCAGCCCCGGCCGCTGCTGCTGCTGTCCCGTTGGCTGCTGCTGCTGCTGCCCCGTTGGCTGCTGCTGCTGCTGCTGCTGCTGCGCCGTTCACTCCTGCTGCTGCTGCTGCTGCCAGACGGCGTCGGAGGTGATGGGAAGGAAGCCTTGGGGGCGGGAGTTTGCTGCTTCGCGCTGCTGCTCGGGGTGTACGTACACCTGAAGCTCGCGAGCAGCAGCATGTCCTTTTTGCTGCTCCAAACTTCGAGAAAAAGCAGCACTAATGCTGCAGAAGAGAAGGCCAAACACTGACCACAGCAGCACCAGCTGCGGCGCACACAAACCCTAAACCCTAAACCCTAAACCCTAAACCCTAAACCCTAAACCCTAAACCCTAGAGCCCGAGCCTCTGCCTCAGCAGCAAACTAGAAAGACCTGCGGGGGTTTAAGAAGCAGATAAGGTGCCACCAAATACGAAAGGAATAAAACAGAAATGCAGAATTAAAAACAGCAAAAAGAGCAGCAGCAAAAAAGCAGCAGCAGCAAATCTCCCCCCTTACCCGGAGACCTAAAATGTCTCCCCCATGAAACAAGTCAATTGCTACTCCTGGCAGGAACGCCCCTGCAGCGCAGCAGCAGCAGCAGCAGCAGCAGCAGGAGCTGCAGCAGGCGCAGCCGCAGCAAACCCAGCAGCGAAGGCGGCAACAGCAGCAGCAGCACCAACAGCAACACCAACAGGCAGCAGAGAGCAGCCAGCAGCACCATTAGCAGCACCAACAACAGCAGGCAGCATCAGCAGCAGCAGCACCAACACCAACAGCAGCAGGCAGCAGCAGCAGCAGCAGCAGCAGCAGCCGCAGCAGCAGCAGCAACACGAACACCAACAACAGCAGACAGCAGCAGCAGCAGCCGCAGCAGCAGCAGCAACACGAACACCAACAACATCAGGCAGCAGCAGCAGCAGCAGCAGCAGCAGCAGCAGCAGCAGCAGCAGCGGCAGCAGCAGCAGCGGCGGCGGGGGGCGTGGGGAGCGGTTTGCTGCTGCTGAGTTGCTGCACTTGCGCAAAAGTGAAGCTTTTGGCTTTCTTTTTATTCTTTCTTTAAATCTTTTAAAATATAATTTACTCAGCAGCAGCAAACACAAACACGCAACAACCACAACTCCCCCACACCCAACTCCCCACGGCACCAGGGGCCCCCTGGGGGCCCCCTGGGGGCCCCTTGGAGGCCCCTTGGGGGCCCCCTGGAGGCCCCTTTGGGGCCCCTTGAGGGCCCCTTCGGGGCCCCTTGGAGGCCCCTTTAAGGCCCCTTGGAGGCCCCTTTGGGGCCCCTTGGAGACCCCTTTGGGGCCCCTTTGGGGCCCCTTGGGGGCCCCCTGGGGGCCCCTGGGGGCCCCTGGAAAAGGGTCTGGACTGACCTGCAGCAACAGCAGCAGCGGCGTAGGCCGTGCATGCGTAGAGGGTTTTGGTGCGGGGCTGTGGGGTTTTGTAGCCGCCGACTCTGTCGACAGTGAGGCCCCCCATGAGGACTCCAGCCACGGGAGAGGAAGCAGCAACAGCAGCAAAAGTCAACATTGCTGCAGCAGGACTCAGCTGCAGCAGCGAGGCGTACAGCACAGTGCCCCAGAACTGCACGCCAGTCACCACGAACAGCAACGCGCACAGAGTCAGCACCGGAAACACGTACATCGGCGTCCTGCAGCAGCAGCAGCAGCAGTAGCAGCAGCAGCAGCAGCAGCAGCAGCAGCGGCGGCGGGTGAGCGGCGGGAGAGGCGGGATGGACGCCCGCGTGCGCCAGCCAGCAGCAGCAGCAGCAGCAGCAGCAGCAGCAACGCAGCGCTAGCGGTGCAGCAGCAGCTGCGTGGAACGCACGCGCTGCGACGCTGCAGCAGCAGCAGCAGCAGCAGCAGCAGCAGCAGCAAAGGCAGTCGCTGCTGCCGCAGCAGCAGCTCGCGAAACAGATGCGCAGCAACACTGCAGCAGCAGCAGCAGCAGCAGCAGCAGCAAACTTGAAAACAACTTCCACTTACATCAAAAGATGCAGCGCAGCTCGCTTTTGGCTCATTTGTGCTGCGCTGCTGCAGCCAGAGGGGGGCCCCTCAGGGGGGCCCCCCTCTCCTGTGGCGGGGCTGTAAGTTGTGGGGGTTAAGGGTTCTGCTGATCTTCTTCTGTGAGTTGCTGCTGCTGGGGACTTGGCCAGGGAAGAGTCCTTGTCTTCCTCTGCATGCAGCAGCTGCAGCCGCTGCTGCTGCTGCTGCTGCTGCTGCTGCTGCTGCGGCTGCAGAGGCGCGCTGCAGCGGCCGCCGGGGCTGCCCATAACTCCCAGCTCCACCCCGAAGTCCGCCGCCAGAGGCGCATCCCGCAGCTGCTGCTGCTGCTGCTGCTGCTGCTGCTGCTGCAGCGCCCCGCAGTCCGCCGCCTCTGGCTCCTTTGCTGCAGCAACTGCTGCAGCAACTTTGCCCTCCGGGGCGCATGCAGGGGCCCCCAGGGCCCCGGGGCCCCAGGGAGTGTCCACGTAGTGTTTGGGAAAAGCAAAAACTAAAACTGATAAAAGAAAAAGAAATGAAACTTGAACACAAATTGCTGCTCTCCAGCTGAAGCCCAAGTAGACAGAGAGGACTCCCGCAGTCAGGTAGCCCACCTGCAAGCAGCAGCAGAAGCAAACTCCCAATATGAGAGCAGCAGCAGCAGCAGCAGCAGCAGCAGCAGCAGAGCCCGCGGCCTGCGGCTGCAGCAGCGGCGCGCGCTGCAGCAGCAGCAGCAACAGCAGGAGCAGCCTTCGCCCCAGCAGAAACAAGAACAGCAGCAGCTGCAGCAGCAACAGAAACAAGGACAGCAGCAGCAGCCGCAGCAGCAGCAACAGAAACAAGCACAGCAGCAGCAGCAACAGAAACAAGCACAGCAGCAGCAGCCGCAGCAGCAACAGAAACAAGGACAGCAGCAGCAGCAGCAGCCGCAGCAGCAACAGAAACAAGCACAGCAGCAGCAGCAACAGAAACAAGCACAGCAGCAGCAGCCGCAGCAGCAACAGAAACAAGCACATCAGCCGCAGCAGCAGCAGCAGCAGCAGCAGCAGCAGCAGCAGCGGACAGTGACCCCGACGACTGCAGCGCCCTGCATGAGTCCCATCCAGAGGGCGGCCTTTTTGGGAGGGGCGAATTCGTCGACCCAAACGGGAGCATAAATGACAAAAGGAGTTTGAGTTAAGCCAACAAGGAAGCGGCTGGCGAGCAGCAGCAGCGCAGCAGCAGTCAGGTCTCCGAAAGCAAAGCACGGCAGCCGAAAAAACGAAGCTGCTGCGCCTCCTGCTGCTGCTGCTGCTGCTGCTGCTGCTGCTGCTGCTGCGGCTGCGTCCGCCGCGCCGCCGCCGCCCGCAGCACCCGCCGGCTCCAACGCGCCCGCAGCAGCAGCGGCGCCCGGCCCCAGCCCGCCGCCGCCGCCGCCGCTGCTGCTGCTGCTGCTGCTGCTGCTGCTGCTGCTGCTGCTGCTCTCCTGCTGCAGCAGCGCCGTCAGCACCAGCAGCAAAGTGGCCAGCGCGTTCAGCAGCACTGACACGCCAACCACCCGCCTCGAAGACCACTGCGCAAAGACGCGGCCGGCGAAGGGCGAGGCCAGCGTGAGGCCCACGTACGGCAAAGCCCCCAGCATGCCTGCAGCAGCAGCAGCAGCAGCAGCAGCAGCAGCAGCAGCAGCAGCAGCGGCAGCAGTGATCTCGCAGCAGGCTAGAGTCAAGGGCTGCGCAGCTAGGCGCTCGCTTGCTGCTCAAGTGCTTCTTGCTGCCTCTCTCTCCAGCTAATGGTTCTCTACGTGCGCCTCGCTGCTGCTGCTGCTGCTGCTGCTGCTGCTGCTGCTGCTGTGTCGCTGCCTATCTACGCATGCGCCTCTGTGGGGCCGGGAGCTGCTGCAGCCTTTAGGCGCCTCCGCGGGCCCGCGCGCTGCATCGGCAGCAGCTGCTGCTGCCGTGCCGCCGCCGCTGCTGCTGCGCTGCCGCTGCTGCTGCTGCTGCTGCTGCTGCTGCTGCTGCTGCTGCTGACCTTGCCAGGTGGGAGAGAGGCGAAACTCGCTCGCCAACTGCGAAAGAGTGCAGGGGATGGCCCCACAGTCGAAGTTGACGAAAATCTCCAAAGCAAAAAAGACCAAAAAAACAGCAGCAGTGAAGCGCACGTCTTCCCGCGGGTGCTGCTGCGGGCCCAGCTGCAGCAGCAGCAGCAGCAGCAGCAGCAGCAGCAGCAGCAGCAGCAAGCCCTCAACCCTCACAAAGAAACCCTTAAAACTCACAAAGAAACCCTAAACCCTCTAAATAAAACCCTAAACCCTCCAAATCGGACATAGATAAAAACCTGAAGTCCCAAACTGCCGAAATAGAAACCCTAAACCCTAAACCCTAAACCCTAAACCCTGGTTTAGGGTTTAGGGCTTGAGGCCTGGGGCTCTCCAGCTATTTCTGCAGAATTCCCTCAATCACCCACTGTGGCTGCAGCAGCAGCAGCAGCAGCAGCTACGCCATCATCAGCAGCAACTGCAGCAGCAGCAGCAGCAGCTACGCCATCATCAGCAGCAACTGCAGCAGCAGCAGCTACAGCTCCAGCAGGAGTAACTGCAGCAGCAGCCGCGCCCAGATCAGCAGCAGCAGCAAGTGCAGCAGCAGCAGCAGCAGCAGCAGCAGCTGGGACTAACCGGCTTCGGCTCCAAGCCGCAAACTCTCCAAATCCGAGTTAGTCCTCCATTTGCAATTTGCTGCTGCTGCTGCTGCTGCTGCGCAGCAGGCAGGGGGGCCCCCGTGTCTGCTGCTGCAGCGTGGGCGTTTCTGGGAGCAGCAGCAAGGCGGGGGGCCCCCTTGGCGTGCCTTCCTGCGCTGCTGCTGCTGCTGCTGCTGCTGCTGCTGCTGCTGCGCCTCCAGCCGGCCCAGGGAAGACCCAGGGGCCCCTCGGGGGGCCCCTCAGCAGCAGCAGGGGGGCCCCCCCCACCCTCTTCCAAGTCGGGGGGCCCCCTAAAGACCAGGGGATGGCGTTCATCTGTAATGGGTTTAGAAGGAGAAGCTGCCATTGCAAAAGCAGCAGCAGCAGCAAGAGTTGCTGCTGCCTTTTCGAGGGTTTCGGGGGGCCCCTGAGGGTCCTGGGGGGCCCCTGCTGCGCCGGGGGGCCCCTGGCTGCTGCTGCTGCTGCTGCTGCTGCTGCTGCTCTCCAAGTCCGCGGGCTCGGGCCTCGCTGCGCTCATTTGCAGCAAATGGGGGCCCCCCAATCCCCATGAAGTGCCCGGGGGGAAGCAAACTGCAGCAGCAGCAGCAGCAGCAGCAGCAGCAGGCGCGAGGGCGGATCAACTCATCCTTCCTGGGCCTCTGCTGCTGCTGCGGGTGCTGCTGCTGCAGGGGCTGCTGCAGCGGCTACAGCTGCTGCTGCTGCTCGCCAAAAGGCCAGGGGGAAGTGCACATCAACTGGAAGCAAAGAAGCCCGCAGCAGGAGGCAGCAGGCGGGGAAGGCGCTGCAGCAGCAGCAGCAGCAACAGCAGCAGCAGCAGCAGCCGCAGCGCTGGCCGCAGCAGCAGCGGGCCACAGAGCCCTTCAAGTGGTCCACTGGTCACCGCCGAGACAAACAAAGAGTCCAGTGGCTCTGCAGCTCCTCCGGGGCTGCGGAGGGAAAAGAAGAACTGGAAGACGCACTGGGAGCTGCAGACATGCGGGAAAGCTGGAGCTCGGAAGCGAATTCGAAGAGTTGCTGAAGTCCTATTTGTCGAAAACAGTTTTAGGAAGCATTAAAAGGACTTTTTTCTCGAGTTGAACGGCGAAAAGCAACGAGAACGAAAGTGAGAACAGCCCCGAGCACGGAAGCCGATCAGCACTGCGCGTGGCTGCAGGCCTTTGGCTGCTGAAACTGTACATACACCGCAAATTTAAGCTCCATTAATCCATTTCGGAGCAGATTTGAATGTTTTCAAAATTCATTCTTCTGCACTTTGGAAGCACGGAGTGCCTCGGGAGGTGCGGAGGCGAGGCGTGGCTGCCCGAGGCGACCAGCAGCAAAGTGGCCAGACTGCTTCTCCGCTGCAGCAGCAGCAGCAAAAAACGGAAACAAATACCATTTAATTCAGCAGCAAACACAAATTGCATTTGGAAAGTCAAGAAGACTCGCTGCAGACTGCCGAGCGCACGCGCCAACGTTGCGGTGTCTGGGGTGTACAGACACCCCGCGCCGCAGAAGTTCACCACTGAACTTCTTTGCTCCAATCACTTCAAATTTTGCGCAAATTCGAAAAGCACTTCAACTAAAAAGCTGCTGCTGCCAAAAACTGCGGCGCTGCCGCCCCTGGAGCCCCGGAGGGCTTGTGCGCTGGGGAGTGCGCCGAACTTCGGGGAAAAACGGAGATAAATAGTCAAAAAAGATGAAAAAAAGAGAACTATTTTGCTTTTTTGAACTATTTCACTCATTTGAGGCTTCTTGGGCCCAGCCAGAGCCCCTGGCCGGCGCGCAGTGAAGAGCCTCTTATATCTGTATTTGCACAAGACGCAGTTTGCTGCAGCTGCGCTGCTTAGTTTGCTGCAGCAAGTCTCTGCAGCTTCTACAGAGTGTCTTGAGCAGCAGGGCTTTGAGTTGTTTCGAAAAAACTAAAAATGAATCTTTTGAAAAGACTTTCGAGAGAAGTGTATCTACAGCTCCTGCAGGAGCTGTAGATACACCTGAGAGCAAGCAGCAGCTGCCTTTCAGGGCCCCCAAGCAGCAGTTTTGCTTCGCCATTTTAATTGTTTTGAAGTTTTAATGAGAATTATAAACTCCACCTCAGAGGCCACGAGAAAAGACCACTGGGCAGCCAGAAAGGTCTCTTTGGGGGCCCCAATGGTCTTTTTTGTGGCTGAAGTCCATTTAAAAAGTCCATTAAAAATAAACGAAGTGGACCATTGGTCCACGAGGCCCAAAAAGCCCAGCAGCAGCACTCCGGGCTCACTCCGCACGGGCAAAGACAGCAGCAGCAGCAGCAGCAGCAGCAGCAGCAGCAGCAGCAGAAGCAGCAGCAGGACTTAGCATTATGCAGAATGTCTTTACTGACACTTGTGGAAGTTGTAAAGCTGCAAAGCTTTTCTGGAAAAGTGCCTCAAAAAGTCTTAAGCTTTTCCTGGGCTTTTGCTGCTGCCTGCAGATTTGCTGCTGCCTGCAGATTTGCTGCTGCTTGCAGATTTGCTGCTGCTGCTGCTGCTATTTAATTTGGTGTTTAATTTTATTTTCTGCTGCCTCTTTTAAAGTTAGAAAAGTCTTTTTGGGATTTTATAATTCCCACCAGCAGCAGCAGCTCTGCTGTACAGACAGCTCGCGAGGGCCCCAGGGCCTTCTCAAGACGCATTTGCTGCTGCTGCTGCTGCTGCTGCTGCTGCTCCGTGCTGCTGCTGCTGCTGCTTCTCCCTGCTGCTGCTGCTGCGCTGCTGCTGCTTCCCCGCGCTGCAGCTGCTGCTGCTGCTTTGGGGGCCAAATCTAATGGCAAGGCTCCAGGTGATTATAATTGGATTTAAAATTGCAAAAGGAATAAATCAGAAGTTTGTTAAAAATAAATGTGAAAAAAAGAAAAAGAATTAAATCTTTATTTAATTAATTGACTTATAATTTTCAGCAAGTGGCAGCAAAAGAGGCCCTAAGGGCCCACAAAAAGCCCCCCAAAGGTCTTTAAAATAAATCATTTAATATTTAATTGCAAAATAAAACTAATTAAGAAAAAATAACAAAAATGAGCTGCAGCCAAAGCCAGCGGGAATGCAAAAGAGTGAAGTCCATGTAACCAGGTGTACGTACACCCCAGAGTGTCCACCACCGCGCATTCAACTCTGCGGCCGCCGCCGACTGTCATTTGTGTCATTTTGGATGAAAAAAAGTCAATTTTTTTGCAAAAAAGTGTTTAAATAATCAAAATAATTAAAAAAGATTCAAAAACATTCAAAAGGGGCTTCAAAGTGACCCAGAAAGCCCCATTTTTCCTGCAGATCCGCCTCTGCTGCTGCCCTCCAGCAGAAGACTGCAGCTTTCTGAAAAGTTGGAGAATTAAAAAAAGATTTGAAGTTTTTTTTCTCTAAGTTTGATTTCTTTAGAAGTGGCTGCGGCCCGCAGGCCTGCATGCAGCTCTGGGGGGCCTCTGGGGCCGCAGCTTTCGCAGAAAGCCGCGAGAAATCCCCTGCTGCAGCAAAATGCAGAACTAGGACTGCAGAAGACCCGCAGCAGCAGGGCTGCTGCTGCTGCTGCTGCTGCTGCTGCTGCTGCTGCTGCTGCTGCTGGGGCTTGGCGCATGCGCTGCGGCGCAGCCCGCGTGGGGAAGCTCGCAGGGCAGATCTCTTTCCCCAACTTCGCGGCATCTCTTTTCGAGGCTTTTCTTCGAAGTTTGCAAAATGCCGAAGAGCTACAGAAACCACAGCAAAACGGCTCGCAACCCCAAGCGCCCCTTCGAAAAGGTGCGTTGCTGCTTCCCGCAGCAGCAGCAGCAGCAGCAGCAGCAGCAGCAGCAGCGGCGGCGCTGTGGGGGACCCGCCCCGGGATTCTTCCCAATATTTGCAAATAGTTGAAAATTGCTAATAGTGTTTCTTGAGCTGCTTTCTTGAGACAGAAGGCCCGCGGGCTGGCAGGCTGCAGCAGCAGCCGCGGGCAGTTCGCGCGCGCGCGAGGCTTCGGGCTGCCGCTGCTGTTTATTTTTCGATTTTGCATTTCAAAATTATGTTTTTCTTCGAATTTAATTTATTTAAATGAAGAGGGAGCTCCGGGGCTTTCAGTTTCTCCTTCCCGCGCGGCGCGCCGCCGGGGTGTCTGGACAGCTCGCGGGAGGCGGCTGCGTCGGTGCTTGCGTGGTTTTCGGTGATCTTGCGAGTTTTTGCGTTTTTTTTGTCGGAAAAAAGGCAGAAAAGAATAAAATATAATTAAAATTAATTAAAAACAAGAAAAGGGGCTGCGGAAGTGTGTGGCTGCGCAGGAGCGCTTGGACCAGGAGCTCCGGCTCCTGGGCGAGTATGGCCTCAAGAACAAACGCGAAGTCTGGAGGGTCCAGTACGCCCTCGCGAAGATCCGCTCGGCCGCTCGCGAGCTCCTCACTCTCGAAGAAAAGGACCCGCGACGCATCTTCCAAGGTCCGCTGCTGCTGCTGCTGCTGCTGTTCCTGCTGCTGCTGCTGCTGTTCCTGCTGCTGCTGCTGCTGTTCCTGCTGCTGCTGCTATTCCTGCTGCTGCTGCTGGTCCTCTGCTGTTCCTGCTGCTGTTCCTGCTGCTGCTCTTGCTCCTGCTGCTGCTCTTGCTCCTGCTGCTACTACTACTACTACTACAGCAGCAGCAGCAGCAGCAGCAGCGGGTGGGTTTGCTGCTGTTCGCTCAGGGACCGCGCTGCTGCGGCGGATGGTGCGGCTGGGGCTGCTGAGCGAGGGCGAGCAGAAGCTGGACTACGTGTTGGGTTTGACAGTGCAGAAGTTTTTGGAGCGGCGGCTGCAGACTCGCGTTTTCAAGTTGGGACTTGCGAAGTCTATACACCACGCGCGGTGTCTCATCCGCCAAAGACACATTCGAGTCGGAAAACAAATCGTCGACATTCCTTCTTTTCTCGTCCGCGTGGACTCTGAGAAATACATCGAATTTTCACTGACATCGCCGTACGGGGGGGGGAGGCCGGGCCGCGTTAAGAGAAAGGCGCTGCGGGGCGGGGAGGACAAGGACGGGGATGAGGAGTGAGGAATAGGCAATTAATTATGATTAATTATTGCTAATTTTAATTAATTGTAATTAATTTAGGGGAGTTTAAACGGGGTGGAGGGGGGAGGGGGTTGAAAGGAACGAAAGAGCTGCTGCGCAGCAGCAGGCGGCAGCAGCAACGCGCTGCTGCTGCTGCTGCTGCTGCTGCTGCTGCTGGTGGCGGGGGCGCTGCGGCGAACTGGACGTTCAAACGACGCAAAGGCATTTAATAAGTCCATTTGAGTCGCCGTTTTGCTTTTTGCTTCTCAAATTCAGCCAGAGGTTCTTAAAATGCCACTTTTTGCCGATTTAAACTGCACTTTTGTCTGCAAAAACGGCAAATTGCTGAGAAAGTAGAACGCAGTTAGTGGCGGGCTTGCAGTGGGCTGCGCGGGGTCACCGCGGGGAGTTCAGTCTGTCATTTTAATCTTATTTTGCCGGCTAACCCCGCGAAATAAAACCAAAAAATAAAATGTTGAATAAAAGCTTTTTATTTTTCTATTTAGCAGCCCCTGAAGTGCAGTAGCGCCGGAGTGCACGGCGCGGCGGGGCCGGGGCGCCGCCCTCGTGGCTGCTGTGTGGCTTGGCGGGCCAACTGCGTTGTCTTCCGCATTTAATTGCCATCTCGGATTCTTTTTAATTAATTTTTTGGAAATTAAATTAAAACAAACTTCCAAAGTCCGCAGCGAGCCGCGGAACTCCGGTGGCTGGCCGACGAAACCACCCAACACAACCCGACAACCAGCCCCGCGTCTCGACCCTCTCAGTGTATTTTTCCGCAATTTTTCCAGAAAGTTTTGTCTTTTTGCATTAATTTTGCATTTAAAAGCATTAATTGCCGACAAAGTGCTGAAAAGGGCGTCTCCCGGCCTCGGGGCGGCACCGACACTTGCCATGAAGCAGCTCTGTGGCGACGGGAGGCTTCTAGTCCTGCGCGTTCTTCTTCCCCGGAGTTTTGCTGCTGCTGAGCTGCTGCTGCACCTTTTTGCTGCTTGCTGCTGAGCTGCTGCTGCTCTTTTTGCTGCGCTGCTCCCCCATGCCGGCCTGAGCAGCGGCGCTGCCTCGCTGCTTCCCGCGGGAAGTTTGCTGCAGCGGCGGACTTGGCCGTTTTCCCACTTCGCAGCAGATGAGCGCCTTCCCGCTGCCCCCCGCTGCTGCAGCTGCTGCTGCTGCTGCTGCTGCAGCAGGCTGCGCAGGCCCGCCTGTGCAGCCTGAGGGGCCTTGGGAGCAGCAGCTGCCTGCTGCTGCTGCTGCCCCCCGCTGCTGCAGCCCCGGAGATGAGGCCATTTCTTTCCCGCTTTCCCAGCCAGAGCCGCTGCGGCAGCAGAGCAGCGCGGGTTCTGCTGCAGTGCAGCGGCGGCGGCGGTCTGCTGCCTGCTGCTGCGGGCCCTACGTGTCTTCGGGGCTGCAGCAGCTGCAGCAGCTGCAGCAGCTGCAGCAGCTGCAGCACAGCCCCCGCAGCGCAGCAGTGAGCCTCTGCTTCCCTGCAGCCTGCTGCTGCGCTGCTGCTGCTCGAGAACTGCTGCAGAGTCCTGCTGCTGCTGCGCTGCTGCTGCTCGAGAACTGCTGCAGAGTCCTGCTGCTGCTGCGCTGCTGCTGCTCGAGAACTGCTGCAAAGTCCTGCTGCTGCTGCTTTGCTGCTGAAGACTCTGTGTGTTTCTGCTGCTTGACTCAGCGGCGGCAGCAAACCCCCTTCGGACTTGAAGACGAAAAGCCAACAGCAGCAGAGTTTCAAAAAGCTGCTCGAGATATGGCGGAGGCCGCGCTGGCCTCTGCTGCTGCTCTTGCTGCTGAAGCCCGCGCAGTGGACCCGGGCTACGCGGCCAAGCCCACGGCGTTTCTGTACAGAGGCCACACTGCGCAGATTGCCACTTCCACTGCGGGAATGTACGGCGAAATGATCGAAAGCTTCATCAAACAAGTGGGCCTTTGCCGCTCCTACCAGTTGCAAAAAAAACAAAGTGAAACGAAGCGAAACTGCTGCTTCCACGCGCTTCCGCCCGCTTTCTTGAGGTGTACGTACACCTGCGTGAGGTGTACGTACACCGTTGTGACCTGAGGTGTACGTACACCTGCGTGAGGTGTACGTACAGCGTTGTGACCTGCAGGTGGTGGCCTTTGCCAAACAATATGGAGCTGATCACTTCAGTGTTTTCTGCGATCTGGGCAGTGGACGGGGCGCCCCGAGCGCCATAGCGGCCTACGAACACGACTGGCTCGCGTGTCTCGGTAACAGCTGCTTTAATTAATTAATTTTATTTCAATTTAATTTGCTTTTGCTGCTGTCAGTGCTGAGTGTTGGTGCTGAGGCGAAGCTGCAGCAGCGGCAGCTGCGCTCCCTGTGCATGCATGCACCTAACTAATAAAATGCAGGACAAGTCCTGCTGGCTATTTGCCAAACTCTGCAGAGTTCTGAATGATTCTGGAGGCTTAAAAGGGTTTCCAAGCTTTCTCGAAACTGCTTCTGCTGTTTTAATAATACTTTAATAATAATGCCTTTTCCTTAGATTCATTTCAAATATAAAATATGGCGCAGAACAGCTGCTGCGAAAGCTGAACTTGAAAGCCACTTCTGCTGCTTTTTGCATGCGCTTTTTAAGGCATAGAAAAGTGCCCGCAGGCGTTTGGACTTTCGCTGGAGACGCAGCGGTGTCTGCTGCTGCGCGAAGCCTCAGACCGTCTGCGGCAGCGCAGTGGCTCTGCTGCTGCTGCTGCTGCTGCTGCTGCTGCTGCTGCTGCTGCTGAAAACAAGCAGCAAGTTCCGAAGGAACTGCTGCAAGAGTTGCTGCAGTCCAGGCCCGCGCGAGCGCTGGCCTTTTCCCACGATGACCTCTCCGCCTTCGTCGACTTAGAGGGAGTGACCCACGCCTACTCCTTCGACGCCGCCATGGAGGGGCCGCTGATCAACTAGTAAACGAACTTAACTTATTAAAAACAAACTCAGCTTTTTGTTTTGATATTAACTTAGCTAAGTTTGTTTCACTGCTGCCACGCATGCAAGAACACTAAGTTAATATCAACAACAATACTGTTCTTGCATGCGTGGCAGCAGTTAAACAAAATTAGCTTAGTGTTCTTGCATGCGTGGCAGCAGTTAAACAAAATTAGCTTAGTGTTCTTGCATGCGTGGCAGCAGTTAAACAATTAGCTTAGTGTTCTTGCATGCGTGGCAGCAGTTAAACAAAATTAGCTTTGCAGTTCTTGCATGCGTGGCAGCAGTTAAACAAAACTAGCTTTGCAGTTCTTGCATGCGTGGCAGCAGTTAAATAATTAGCTTATTGTTGTTGCATGCGTGGCAGCAGTTAAACAAAACTAGCTTTGCAGTTCTTGCATGCGTGGCAGCAGTTAAGCCAACTTAGTTCTGCAGTTGTTGCATGCATGGCAGCAGTAGACGCGCTGCAGTTCTTGGGTTAAGACTCTTTCTTCTTCTGCTTTCAGCGTCTTCTCTGATAAAAACGAAATGTTTTATTCGTTTTTGTTGTCAATTATTTCTTCTTTTTTTGGTTATTTGGCCACCCATGTGGTTCATTGGTGCGCTGCTGCTGCGGCTGTTTCCTCTGCAGTATCACCCACATGTTCATGCAGACAGAAACGTGGTGGTTCTATCTGTCGTTTAGGAACGGTAAGCCGCAGGTGATGGCGAAATTCTTAAATTATTCATAAAAGTGGAAAGTGCATGCAAATAAAGAGAGGCAAAAGACCGTGAAGTGGTTTGGCTTGAGTGGATATTTCTGAGATTCAGAACCAGAATACCCAGCAGCAATTTATGTTGCACTCTTTTGTGTTGCGGACTTATTTTCAGATTTGATAACTCGGTTCGACTTGAAAGGGGCGGAGATCAAACACCAGATTAGCAGCAACATGTGGGTTTCATCAGAGGGCCGCACAGCTTACGTCTACGTGAAGACAGACTGGCGAGAAAGACAGAAGCTGCATCGAAAGTGGCTGAGACAGAGGATCCTGGCCCCGCAGCTCCAGCAGCAAGCGAAGAAGCAGCAGCTGCTGCGGCATGTGAGCATACAGCAGCAGCTCGTGCTGCAGCAGCTGCAACGGGAAGAGGAACCCGTGGCAGCAGCCGCTGCCAAGGCTGCGGCTGCTGCGGGTGAGCCCACTCAAAGGACTCCTCGCAGCAGCAGACGCAGCTCAGTGTCTTCGACGATGGAAGCCACCCGCTGCCGCAGCAGCAGCAGGAGACGCCAGAGCACCGCAGGAGATGCGCTGCAGCAGCAGCAGCAGCAGCAGGATATGGTGCTGTTTCACCTGGCGGCACGGCGGCAGCAGCTGCACGTCCTCGAACATCTCGAACCTGGACAGTCAGTTTGGGAGAATCTTTGGGGGCAGCATAACCAAAGTGAAACTGACACGGATGAAGTAGACGACAAGGCTTTACTGGAGGAGCTGCATGCATTTCGCAGCACGCACTTCAGACTGTCCAAATGGTGAGGGGGAGAAATGTGAATTGCCACAAGGGGGGGCCAGGAGGAGTTCGTTGTGGATATGCGGCAGCAGTAGTTAAGTTCTTTGAACTATGGATGCATGCAGTGCATTCTACTTTGCTGTTTCTGCTGTTTGCAGGCACCAGCCCCTAACAGTGCAAGGTTTGCTGCTGGCGGCCTTGCTCCCTTTCGAGGGCCAGAACCAGTGGCTGCAGCTGCAGCAGCAGCTGCTGCAGCCTGCTTCCCGTGTATTGACACGGGCGCAGCGGCTGCTCCTTTTGGGTTATGATGAAAACCAGAGAAAGGAGGAAGAGATCCAGAGAGATAAGTGGCTGGAACAACTCGCAGCATCAACCGGGCCGCAGGAAACCGTAGCCCTGAGAAGCGATATCCACAAAAGGCTGACGATACAGCGCACGGAAGACATGGTGAGCTGCTGCAATGCATGCGCGCATGCATGCGCGCATGCATGCGCGCATGCATGCGCGCATGCATGCGCGCCGTGTGAATCTGCTCAAGCGTTTTGCAGGCATGAACATGGCCACATTCGAATATCCTGAACTGTCCACAAGGCAGTCTAGGCCCAACAATATTCTTAACCCCCTGCACCATGCTGTGTAGTGCAATTAATGCATAAATTCTCACTATTTGCTTCTAGAAGGACCCCATGAGCGGAGTTCTTTCCTGCAAATGGTTTTCCGTGTGGTGGCTCAGTCTCTCTTCGCCTTCCTGCCCCCCGAGAGCAGCAGCAGCGCAGCAGCAAACGGGGATGCAGCCCTGCCGGACGGCGCCTCTCTGCGTCTTGGCTTTCGGCACAGCCTCAAGGAGCTGCAGGAGAAGCAGTCGCCGCTGCGGTCTCCCCGAGGCCGCGCCTCTTCAAGCCCGATGGCTTCGAGGGAAGCCTCGCCTGTGGGCCACTGCGCAGCGTCGCCGCGCACGCCACTAGCGGCTGAGACTCCGACGCAGCAGCAGCTCTCATCCATTATAAGAACTGGAAATGAAAAAAGTCTTTTAAATTCCACGAGGCAGCACTGCCGCTCGCCAGTCCGCCAGGCCCCCCGGCGGCGAGGCAGCAGCCAGTCAGCTTCCCCCGTGTCTTCCCGCCGCCGCTGCTCCGCCGTGACGGCCTCTGCTGCGCTTGCTGCTGCTGACGCAGCAGCAGCAGCAACGCCGTCGAAGCCAAAGGGCGGCGCGCTTGCTGCTGCAGGCACTCCCAGCACGCGCCGCGCAGTGCTGAAGGCTGAGAAGGAGCTGCGGGGCCTCGCCTTCGGGGCTTCTGGCCCACCCAGTGCTGCACAGCCCGTGTCTCAGCATGCGACTTAGTGGTGAAGCCGAAGTTCAGGAAAGCAGCGGCTGTTGGAGCTGCTCGGGGCCAGCGCCCAGTCCGCGATAGCAACACACTGCCAGGTGTTCCTGCAAGAAAGGCACCTCAAGTGCCAAGCAGACTGTTCTGGCTCTAGAGAATACCCTGAGATTCTATTTGTCACTTTCTTGTCTTCAAAAAAACCTCTTCAGGCCGGCTAACTTTCATGGGCCTGCGTCTTGCAGTGTGAGAGGCGCGCATTTTGACTCCAGGAAGCAGCCTAGCTTCATTGAAAACTGAAGCAAAGCACCACGCAAAGCTAACAACGCTTTCCGAGTTGGCCTAGTCCAACTCTCCGCAGCTCTAGTTCGTAGATAGATGCGGATAACGGCAAGGAACTAGCAATGCACGGGCAGGCAAATCTTTATTGAGGTCATATGCAGCCTTATACGGGGAAATATCTGTAGCTGACTAGAGTTCCGAACCACTGGCCCTGCCACTGGTGGCCCGCGCAGGCCGTGGCCCATGGGTAGTCTTTAATGCAGCATTTGTAAGAGAGCCACTGACGACTCTTCGTGAGGCGTAAGCGTATTCACTTTAAGCTGAGTACGGCAAATTCAAGATGGTTAACCGAGATGTTCCGATCCCGTCACACATCTCGAACCTGCAGTGGCGAAAGTGCGCAGCTTTCTGCAGCTTTCTGCGGCTTTCTGCAGCTTTCTGCTGTGTTTTCTTGTCCGTGAAGTCAAAATTATAGTGCAAACGACGTAACCTGTCTGTTAGAAATTCGCAAGACAGAGTGCTAACAAAACCGAAAGCATCGATTCCACGCTCGAAGCAAGACGCCGATGTGGGGTTGAATGTCTCCTCTGCACGCTCTGTGCCTGCCTCACCAGATTATCTAGAATAAAAATGTGATTAATATCTGAGGAAGGAGTAGTAAGTGTTCAACTGAAGAGGTTCTATGCGCATTGGCAGTCTGGTTGCATGCACAGGGTGCAGGCGAAGCTAGCGCTGGACCTGTACTGCCGCAAAGAGAGAGGAATTACAGCTGAGCAGGCGTAATTTCAGCTGTGTTGTATACATATTGAATTCATTGTTCCAATTTTCCTAAACAAAAGATATTGTCGTTTTTCTCGGAGATCTCCCAAGCTGCCGGCTAGCTACAGTTGCAGCCGCGGAATGTTGGGTATTTCGACAATTTCATCGACTCCAGTTGCGTTTTAAAAGGGCTTTCTTCTCATTTTGGAGCTGTATTGCTCTGTTCTGGACAGCAAGCGAGCCATTTTCACCGGCGCAACGCTCACTGAAGCGACTGGCTCGGTCTCCATCGGTCCGCTTCGACGAAGTTCTTCCTCTTCCCCAGCATAAAACTCCTCTGATTTAAGTAATTGTATTCCTGCATTATTCCCAACCTTGGATTCTTTCCTGTGACACTTCCCACGCTCTTGGAGCTCTCTTTAGAACAACTGAACTCGAAGCCCTTGCTCTATCACTGCGATACACGTTTCCGCGGACACACAGAGAGCTTTTGCACCCAACACGACCACATGTCTGCTCGCGCCGAAACAGCATTTAGACTACAGACGGCGCTGCCTAAGACTCAGCATTATTTGAAAGCTAGTATTTTTTTTGCACGCGATTTTGAAGGATCGCTGACTCTGACTTGTGATGACAAACACACACCGGCCGCCTTGGCAAGAGCATTAATTCACCCCTCACCGTATTAGCGTCCGCAAAGTCTTCCTTTTTTAACCTTCACAACACGCGTTATATGGAGTTTGCCCTTGCTGTGACTTCAATTCCCTTCAACAACAGAATTTTCTGCCTCCATTTCAAAATGTGTGGACCGATACAACGATGTGGCCTTTTGGCCTCGTTTTTTCCCCTTATTTTTTCCCTCTTCATCCTACCTTCTGCTTTAGCACTGCAGGACAATTCTGCAGCCAATGATTACATGAACCGTTTCAACATACCTGCAAATCATATCCAGCTCGAATGGGCGAAGTCTGGTTCATCTGTCAAGACCAGCACATATAAAGGGAAGACATACACATGGCTTCCACGTAAGTTACCACAAAGAAGACCTGGTGCCTTACAGTCTCATTAAAGTCTCGTGAAAACGATTAGGCAAGGCTGCCCTTGCACAAGGGATGCTGTCCTCGTGTAGCCATTTCCCGTTCATTATGTGGAGTTCTCTGTTCTTTCTTTGTTTCAGGAAGCCAGACTGCTGGCGTCAAAGTGGGCTATGCTGCAATGTGGGACCGGTCAAGCAAGGGCTATTGCACGCGGAGTGACGCACAGGTCGACACTCAGCGTTACTTGGGACAGCGCCTTATGGCTGTGGGGGCCTGTCCGAACTACGGCAAGTACATTGCCTTTGTAGATCGATCAGGAAACCCTGTGGACAGCGTGGATCGATTTACAAACGAAATTCATGGGAACACCATGCCTTTCTCAATTCAAGGATGCACGTCTACTGCTTCTGTGGGAACGGCAGAAGTGCCGATGGGCCAGTCTGGTTGGAGTATGTATTCAGGGTACCTTGTCAAATGCCCCTTTAACCAGTCAGTGTATGATAAAGACATGCTTCTGGATGCGGAATATGACCCTAACGCCTGCAGTTTCGTGACTTTGGAAAATCCCCTGGTGTTCCTTGACACCTCACAGAAAGAAGGATCGTTGCCTTATAAACCGTATGCCTTCCACGGACAAGGAGGGCACAAAGGCTACGATTTCGTCGGCAGCGGAGTAGGGTGTCCTCCTTTTTCCCCTCCACAGACGACGCGTCCTATGAAGTCTCCCGGCATCATCACTGATCCTTTTCTTTGTTCACAATTGTCACGCTGCACCAGCATGTGCTGGCCTTGGGATGCCAATCGGCCTTGCTACAGGAGTCTGCCTGCATCTTTCAACCACTCGACGTCGGAGTGCCTGATCCTAGGGTACCACACGCAGACATACATCAACGACTCTTGCGCTGTCAAGTCAACAGACGACCCATTGGCAAAGTACTGTGTAAAGGCCCACAAGACTGTCGAGTCATCTAATTACACCTACGTGACGGCATTCACAAGGCCTGACTTCGAAACAGCTTGCCGTGAGTTCCAACCGTAGAATCCGAGTTGCTCTCCTGACGAAAGCGCCTTGCATAGTGCGGTAGGGTTGGGGGGCAGGCAAAGTAGCTCTGCCACTTTTTGAATGAATACGACGCCCACGGATTGTGGTATATTCATGCTGTGCTTCATCATCATGCGTTATGTGTTTCCTAATCAGCTCCAAGAGAACCACTGAAGAATGTGGTATTCGGCACAGTTTCTGGAGGGGTCTGCACTCAGCTCGCGTCAGCTTCCACATCCACAGGAACAGCTGGGGAATGTGGGCAGGCCGTTTTTGAGGCCAGCAGCGACGACAGTCCGTCTGGCGCTGGGGGCACCGGCAGTTCGTCCATTTTCTGGTCTTCCTGGATTCCTCAGAGCGCCAGCAGCCAACAGGGAACCTGTAACCTGTATTCCACTGTGCCAACTTGCCTCTTTAAAGTAGATGGGGCTATATCTTTTACCGCGCTCAGCGCTGCTGATCCTAGTCTTGCGAAGGATCCTCCTTCAGACGCTATTACTCCTGGGCCTTGTTCTTCCAATCCCTGTAAAAACGGCGGCACGTGCGAGCTTCCTGGAGGAACATGCAAGTGCCCTGCTTGTTTTTCGGGCTCAAAGTGTGAAACGCGAGTCGAAGGGTGTTGCGCTTCCAATGCAGACTGTGGCGCCCAAGGATCGTGCGTCAGCAACAAGTGCAAATGCAATGCAGGCTACAGTGGGCCGGCGTGTGAGAAAGGAGCATGTGACGACGTCCAATGCCAAAACTCCGGCACTTGCAAGATGCCGTCTGGCGTTTGTGAATGTCCAGAAGGGTTCTCGGGTCTGCGCTGTGAATCGAGCGTGTGTGACCAAGTAGTTTGCGAAAATGGTGGTCAGTGCGAGATGCCTTCTGGCAAGTGCAAGTGCGCAGCTTGCTTCACCGGAGATCACTGTGAAACTGAGAATCCGCGTTGTTGTGAGACAGATAACGATTGCCACTCGCCACAAGGCAAGTGCGTCTTTAACAGCTGTCAGTGTGCCCCATCCATCACCGGGGACAAATGCGACAATAGCGGCTGTGCTGGGGTCACATGCTTGAACGGTGGCACTTGCAATCAACTTAGCGGGCATTGCAAATGCCCCAAATGTTATAGCGGCTCCAACTGCGAGACGCATGAAGCTAACTGCTGTGAGAGTGACAGCGACTGCAACGCTCCGAACGGTGTCTGCAACAGCTCGAACACCTGCGAATGCACTCCCGAATTCCCTGCGGCGAACTGCGTGGACTTATGCTCTGACGTAGAGTGCAGCAATGATGGAAAATGTGATCCCGCAACAGGAAAGTGCACGTGTCTTGCTGGCTGGGGAGGACCACAGTGCACTGTTCCACAGCCTTGCGGCACTGAAGGGGAAATATGCTCTGGAAATGCTATTTGTGATCAAGAAGCCCTAAGCTGCGTCTGCAAACCTGGCTACACTGGCGAGGACTGCACCGAACTTTCACCAGAGTGTAGTGAGCTGTGCACAGTGGGGGGCAGCGTGATTAAAGATAGCGTAAGCGAATGCAAGGTTGACTGCTATTCAGCATGCTGCAAGCATCTGATAGAATCTTGCAAAGACCAGTCAGAAGACAATCAAGGGCAGTGTGTCAGAGACGCCCTTCAAGCTGAAGAGGACGAATCATGCTGCATTGCGCGTGAAGAAGGTCAGTCTTCCATTTAAAGGGAGGGAACTGTTTACGCTGTCAGGATGACAGCAGTAAAATGAGCAACGGAGAGGTTCGTAACTGTAGGCATAAGCAGGTTTCTAGGGTCGCATGGATATAAATTTTGTTTATGTGCATTCAGGAGGCAGCAATGCTGCATTGTACGCCATAGCAGGGGTTGTCGCAGCCCTTTTACTTCTTGGAGCTGCTGGAGGGATGTACTACAAAAACAGTATTGGGTATGAGGCTCAGAAGAGTTGCTTATTTTCATGTATCACTTTACTAGCTGGCCTCAAAAGTGCGCAACTGTATTCCCTACTTTGGTTTCAAGTATATATGGGAAATAGTATATGCACATATTTTTGGTTTCTTCAGGGGTGGATCTTCTGGCGAAGCTCCAGATGATTCAATGGGTGAAGCTGTTGGTGGAACACACCGGCCCACCAGACAAGAATCGGCCATTTCAGTTGACTTTGAAGACTACGCAAACACTCCAGATGATGCCACTGGGGACCTGCAGGCAGAAGGTAAGGGCGAGCTAGTTTGATTGCACAATATTCATGCTATAACGGCAGAAGGGAGTGTTTCGATTTACCGTAGAAGCTTTGGGAAGTTTGCGGTGTTGAGAACCGTGGGGGGACATTAAGTGCTTAGCAGCTCTGCTTCGCTTAGTAGCAGCGCTAGTCACTATGTTTTGGTGAGCTTTACCGGCGTATTTACTGTTGCCTTCCACATTTTCTCATTTGCGTTTAGGCGAGACTGCACAGGAAGCAGACTGGGACGGTGAGCATAGAACGAGACATTAAACATAGCACTTTGCGCTAACTTAACGCAGCCACAGTTGGACTGATGGGCGCTTTTCACTAGATAGTGAAGGCAGAGTTAGCTAGCCGTTCCTGTCCCTTCAGGTTCATGATAGTTTGCGTCTCTTTTCATTTTGCGTCTGTGCTGCAGACGAGTGAATGTAGAGGATGGTGACGTTTTAGGATGCAGGGAGACAGGCAGCAAGCATATAAGAATGGCGCTGCTTTTACAACTCCACGGAGCCAGAAGCCCCTTCAGTGATTGGAAGCCTGACTGCAAAGAGAAAAAGAAAATGCAGCGAATCAACAGTGATCCCCGCTTCACCTTTGAAGCTTGGGTGGCGTTTGTGCCTCAGCAGAAGTGGCGATTATCACTCAGCACATTTATGACTCTCGTTCTCACCGACTGTGACCGGTGGTCCTTTCTTTTGTGTTGGAGCATGTTTGACTCTACGAGCTGTATATCAGCCATGTAAGGGCGCACTCGGGCCGAGGTTTGTTCTGTACAGCGACTCATTCAAATCTGCAGAGTGGTTGGCTGCCGTCTTCGGGTCTGCCGGTCAGGTATTCCTGGCTGCAGGTGACAACCACATCATTTAAAGGACTACTGCGACCGTAGCGTCTCCCGGCGCCTGCTCTGTCGGTCTTTTTGAAGCTACTGTCGAGTTCGCGTATTACTCTTTGGTGTGCCTTTTTGCATAAAACACATTAGGAGTCCATGGAGAGATCGCCATTTAATTTAGTCTTGAATTGGAAGCCTTGGCAGGGCTCGATGTTTGTCGCAGTCTCACGAGAGCGACAGAGCAGAATCCAGTAAAGACAGCCTTTTGAATCTTTTCGCACTCTGCTGTAAAGGATTCATTGTCTTTTGCGTGCACACGCTGTAACTGACTTTCTTTTGGCTATAACTAATGCGCAAGTGCTAGTCATTGTTAAACGGATTTGCCAATAGTGACATGTAGGAAAGATAAAGCATTTAATCGATAGAGTATGTTCGTGTGCTCACCCAGGAGCGCTCACAAGCCTCGGCCCTCACTTGTTCCACATAGGAACAACGAGCCAGCAAGTGCTGCAGTTAAAACTTACGTTTATAAGCTAAACAACAATGGGGGGGGCCTAAAGCGATGGAAAAGCTCTGTCTCTGCAGATGCAGAACTAGAAGCTCTCTTTTCGCACTTCAGCAACAACTTGCTGAATTTGAACAGCCCTTAAAACTATTTGATTAACGCACACGCGCCAGATTTTCATCCTAAGTTTTACAGCAGGACTTATCGCTGACACCGTTCCTGTCGCTCGTGGAAGCTTTCCTGGAAGAATGCAGTAATCGACTGCTCAACTTCATCTCCGAGGCTCTTGCTCACCTTGGCCGCACCTGCTTTTTTTCCTTTTTCTAGTTTCTCTTCTTTCGCAAACAATTTTTTAATATTTTTGATTGTTTTACTCTTTGAAAGTCGTGTAACTAGCTGCCTGAAGGTATTTCCAAGAGCCTGAAATCGAAACGCAGCCGCATGATCCGGAAATGATTTCATCATGATATTGTGAAATTTGATCCGTTCATCGTTTTTGCTATCATATGATGTGCCTCTACCAGAGGAAGAACTCTTGAGCAAACTATGTCTGCTTCCCTTTGGTGTGCTCACCATTTCAAGGCGACTGAGGATCTGGATGTGGGAGACCGCAATGTTGTACACGGCAACTAGTGGGCCAGCAATCATAGCCATGCTAGCCATAAGCCCTGTCTTCATAACTACCTGAAGAGCTGTAAGTGCGGGTGAGCCGGTGGGGTTGGCAATGAATGTATTGCCACTGCTGTCCACACAGAGACCCATTGGAGGACAGCTTCCTGTCATGCTGGCTTGGCCCGTTTCATTTCCAGTGTTGGTTATTTCCATGACGCCGTCCGTCACTCTAAAGGAATAGGAAAAAATTGTAGGAAGCATGGCAAATTGTGTTACTAAGTATAATTAATGTTATGGAGGAGCTAATTTGTTAGTAGATATACGATAAATCTAGCGGCACCGTCACTTGCGCTGTGTAGAGTGCTTACTGAACAAATGAAGCAGCGAAAAACATGCCCAGAGTTAACCAAGAGATGATTTCACGAATCCGATCTTCCTTGCGCTTTTGAATCCACTTCTTAATCATGACACCAAAATAGACTGACTGGGCATGGAGAAACATTCCCAAGCCGGAGTGGCCGCTAGCGGAGAGCAAACTGCCAGTTAATTGCATCTGGCTTGTAAAAACTGTTGGCGACCCGTATTTTGCCTTCTTCAACATCCGTTTTTGGTCCGTGGGAAGAAGCTCATTGAACAGCTTCAGTCCCATGTCTCCCCCCATCATAACCATTCCAAATGAACTTGCCTGCACATGTGACAAATGCATCCTATGCACATTTCGTTCCAGGGTTTTGAAGCCTTTACCTGCCTGAGAATCACCTAAACTTGTCTCGAGGGAACTAGCGATGCATCTTTTACCTGGAAGGGATCATTAATTGATAATTGCCACGCCTCATCAGAGAACGTCTTCTCAAGACTGTCTAGATTTCCGGCATTCAAAATGTTGTGCGCGGAGACAGAAAAGATGAGCGTCCAAATGTGACGAAAAAAATTAGCCATTGCACTGTCTTTAAGTGCTTGGAGTCGATCTTCCTTTGGCAATGCTGCGTAGTTGCGGTGTAGGGGTGGGACCAGTAAGCTCTCGGGAACCTGCATCAGAGCAAAAGATAATAACTGTGGGTATGAAGCAGCAAAATGCATGCATGCAACGCCAGAGTGCTGCTATTTGCATTTCTTGAACGCCTGTTTCTTTAAGCTGCGTAACGACCTCTTACCCCAAGTGGTCCTCCAGATGACAATCTGTTCTTCTGCTCGTAGTGTTCAAAAAGGTCCGTCACTGCTCTGAAAAAAACCTCCTGGTTTGCAAAGTTTCCTTTATTTTGCGTGTAAACATTGACGAGGACGCGCACTATCTCGAGGGTCTCAGGGATTTTAACGTCGACTGCAACGAACGAGTGATGCTGCGTTTTGTACGGAGGAAGCCTCAGTAACTTTTGCAAGACGCTTTTGAAACCCCACGGTTTTCCAACGGAGGTCTCTCTTGGGCTAACAACCTTCCCAATTAGTGTAAGATTCTCTGCTTCAGAGCTCTTTAAGAGATCCATGGAATCCCTAAAAAGCGCCACAATGTTAGAGCCCTTGCCGCCGTTGCACTCATTTTTTATCCTTTCTGTAGTTTCCGGTTGTCTAAGCCACTCATGCATACTATCTAAGAGCTCCAACTTGAGGTATTTTTGCCATGTGGTTGGCTTTGGCTGCTCGACATGCGCAAAGTTTATTCCTTCAAAATCCTTCACAGTCGTCTTCTCTCCAGCAGTAAGCTTTTCCTGAAAATTTAACCCGTGTCCGCAAGTTTTAATGAAACCTAGACAAGCGGCGCATGCTGTTTTGTTAAGGCTTGCTTCCCTGTATGCCATAAAGTAGAAATGGACAAACCTTTAGTTTCTGTGGAAGGCCTGATGTGGCTGTCTCAGCTATAAGACTGTCTAGCCTTTCTGAAAGACCGCCAGCACGACTTCGGGCCCCTGACTTTTCTGAGCGAGTAAATGCCATCTGATTTAGTTGAAGGAAAACAAGAGGGTGAATGAGGACGTCGACATTTGAACGAAGCTTCATATAAAAATCCGCAGAGAGCTTCGATGACAGAACTGCATACGGACAAAATAAGCATCCCTGCACATTTCTTCCCACGTGAAGCTGCCACTAACATTGTCTTGTGGCCTTCGCCGCTACACTAAGCTAGGGACAATAAGCACAGTGATAGCCGACCCACAACGAAAGTGCTGTTTCGTGTACTTGCGGCCCAAAAACTTCTTCATGAGCCTTTTAACGGAGCGAGGAAGCCACCGAGACAAGAGCACAGAAGTTTTGCTCTGTGAGACTACCTGAGCAAGGCTGTGGAAGATGTTGTCGACCCCATCTGCAAAGGAAAAGAAAGTGGAGAAGTAGGCTAGGTCCATACACAGCAGGCTTGATGCAGTCGAACACGCTAGTTGTTTCCGTCATCTCTAGGTGCCTTACCGGCTCCGGAAATGAGTCCTTTCGCATCTTTCCATTTGTTTCCACTAATCAGAGCAAATGTACGCAACAGGCTATCTCCAGAAGGGCTTCGTTGGAGGAAACGTGAAAGTAGACTCGGATCCTTCCCTACAATTGTCAAGGGAGCTTGCGAAGAGAGAACCTTTTTTGGGCATTTCACGGAGTCGCTTCCGCAAGCGGCCTCTTTAGCGACAGAATTCAAGAAGTCTTGAATTACGTGTAGAAGCTCTGATGATCACAAAACCACACGGACGGCGCATCCGAAATGTGACAAAACTGGACGCATGCACGAAAAATAAAGGCTTAGCTGTGCCTTCGCTGACCAAAATACAAATGTGGCTCTAACCTTTGTTGAAAATGCCGAACAGGCTTTCCAAAGCTTTGCACTGCAAGCCAACAGCGTGTGACTTGCAGTGTAGTTGCTTGTCCCAAATCTGCGTGTTCCACGTTGAAGAGCACGTAGTGCTCTGTTCGCTGGTATTGGCAGCATGACGACCCATTTTCTTAAGAGCTTTCTTGCAAAGCGTGGAAGCTGCAACTCACAGATGCATCCAAAGGACCGGGAAATTGGCCAAGGCGAGCCAGCAGAAGATCCCACTTACAGAGAGGGTTGCTGCATAACGGTGCTACAATGCAACTTACCTCGCTCATAGCTACTTATTAGGTTTGAAGAAGTCCTCGAGTCAATCAGGAAAAGAAGCGTCCACCCTGAGAAATAATACAACTCGATACAAGGCTTTCACGACCATAAGTAAATGAGGTGTCGAAAAGGAGAAAGGAAACGGCTGCTACGTAATGACGACCCTCTGGTATCCACCAAAATCCTTACATGGGCCGCTGTCAGCGGCTAGAAGGCGCGCGCCTGCCTCATAGTTGCCTCCTCTAAGGCTCAGCAGCAAGAAAGCCAGTTCAGCATTTTGACTTGCAATCTGTGATTCTTCTTGCGCTGGCTCTTGTTGAGCTGTGGTAGGCTCCAGCAGAGAATCATGGGAAGCAGAAGTAGACTCCAGAAAAGTAGCTGCAGCTGTTTGAGGAGTGACCCCTTCAGACCGGGCCTCCAGGCTGCTAAGAACGGTGTCGTCGAAAGAACAAGGTGTATCCAGTAGCGATTCTACATCTTTCCGAGTTCTAAAGCTAACACACAGTCTACGATAATTCGTCGGTCCCCCGGCGAAGAGCTCTAAAGGCACTGAGTACTCCATCTCCTCTGACGAGAGAAGCCCCTGAAGATTGTTTATATGCTCAATCGCATTCATTTCCGCTGCGATTCGCACAAAGGCAGAATGATACATTCAGGCTATAGAGGTAGCATTCAACAAGCAGACAAGTTTTCCAGCCCGCTATGAATTAACAAGCTTGTCCTGCGTAAGCACTTCCTTCCATTGTGCACTACGATGCTTCTCTAGGTTTGAAATCCGTTATTTCTCCTACCGAGGTGCAGTGACAAGGCAGCTTGGGTCATCACGTCACAGGAGACCCGCGGGAGGCCAACCAGGTGTGACGTCCTTGTAAAAAGCTCCCTAGGAACAACTAGAGTATTCGGAGGCAACTTGAAGTTCTTTCGACGAGAGCCAAGCACTGCCCCGCACATCCTGCTTAAGTGCGTCAGTCTCTGTTCATTGCCGTTGGTCTGCAGTGCCCGTAGAGGGGCCAATGGACGCCTGCTGCCACCTTCTCCGCCAAAGAACTCGTCAAAGCGCACATGAGCTTGATATATCCAATTAATGAAAAGCGAGACTGCAAAACGCCGAGCGTAGCATCGGAATGGAAGGGCAATTACTTGGGAAAATCAGACATAAAAGCGCTTCGCTTCACCAATTTGCAGTGTGTCAGTTTTTTTGAGTGGAAGAAGACTCACCAAGAGGCCCGCCTGTTCCTGCAAACGCCAAATATGAAGCTGGAAAGCCGTGAAAAACACTTTCAAGAGTGCTACCATGAAATGCAGTTTCTTCGGAAGCATGTGGATTCGACTTTGGTTTGCTCTTCTTGAATATATGCCTGCGCACAAGTACAATTAACGCGATATAGCAATCTGGCTTAGCCAAAAGTATCACAGCTGATGCTGTCTCTTCGTATATCCTGGAGGCTGAATATTTCTCACATTTGGATAAACGCTTCGGTGGAGATACTGCTGCTCTCAGTAGTTCTCTGAGTCGCTCCTTGTGAGCCTTCCGGAGGTCCCATGCTCAACGCTGAAAAAAGATTAGTGAGGGCATTGCGAGGTCCCTCTGAAGGACTTGATTGAAACTGGTTAAGCGGTGTGAACATGACTAATAAATCAAAGAGTATGAGGCCTTTGCGCAGCACATCGACGCAGCCCAGTGGAGCTCCTTCTGCTGAACCGATTTGGATGTCTACTTTGATCAAAAGTTCGCGTAGATCTGGAATGCTTAACGAGTCGCAATTCAAAGCTTTAAAGTGTTCTGGACAAGTGCCTGCTTGCAGCTGAGCACATGTTTGCCGCTTGGCGCCTGCTCAGAGGTAAACGACGTCAAGAGGAAGACAGCAATTAACTGCCAAGGGACAAAAATTCAAAATAAGATGGGCACCGGTCAGTGACGCTTATCGACCCGAATGTGTTCAACAGCTTACTGACGATAGTTTCAAGTAGGTGTTTGTCCCCAAGGACATCGACTAACTCTTGCATGTTCGATTGGGCAGTGGCCGCTGAGCACGGAAAACAATGCCGCACACTCTGGAATGTTAGCTGTCCTATAAAGGACAGTCGGGTCAACCGTGGTAGGCAGCGCGAGGATAGGCTTGCTCACTGGATGATGGCTCCATAATATCTACCCCTTTCGCCTGTCGAAGGGGCCTGTCGAGAAGGAATAACTTGAGTTCATCTTGGTAAGCTGAAGCGCTTGCAGAATCATAGCAGGAATATTATGCGCAACCAGGTCGCTGCATGAAAGCTAACTGCTGTCAGCCGCCAGGCTGAATTTAAAGGGGTAAGGAGTCACACACCGTCAACATTTCCTCGTGGTGCATTTTCGCTGGCCGTCTTATTAAGCTTCTTTGCTTCTGCGTTGGTGAGGGGGAGGGAAACAATAGCAATGGCTAAGAAGGCCTTCAGTTCAGTAAGCTTCATTTTCTATGTAGCTGCAACTGTGGAGACTTCCCCTGATCGAAGATGCAAACAGGATATCTTCTGGTATTTAGTAATATGTCGTTTTGGTAGAGAGGGTTCAGTGCATGGAGGCAGAGGGAAGGGCAAGTTAAAACCCCTTGCTCTTTTGCAACACCCGTGGCTAGGTATGCAGCTAAAGAGCAATGAGACAGGGGCTTTTACTAAGGCATGAAAAGGGCACTTCTTGGTAGTGGCAGTGGAATCAAAAACCATCAAGTTTCAAGCGGCATATGGTCCACAATATTTGTCGGTGGGCGTCAAAAACTATCCTCGAGTTAAACATCGAGGACGGCGATTTGGCTGGAGACAGGGCTCGACGCAGAAGTCGCCCGTGAATTTGCAGTCAAGCAAAGACCCAAAGCAAAATACACAAGCAAAATGAAGAAATGTGAATTCGTAATGAGTTAATGGCTGTGTTCTTCACTCAAAGGTCACCTGTTTTGCAGAATGGAGGGAAACGGAAGGCACTTCAGGAGAGCTTGTGTCTCTGTCGGCGCCGGTAACAAACAATTAAATCTGTGGATTTAGCCTCATAAATCAGATTCACAACTCAATATCCAAGCGTATTTGCTGTGTTGTGTTTGCGTTTCAACTTTTTTTTGAAATCCGAGCAACTGACGTGCCGCTCGGCTGTTCGGTCCCCGTGACCCCAGAACTGCCACCATCGATCAGCATGAGGCTCTACGCCCTCTATGAGCCTGGGCTGTCACACCTGTTATGGCTCTGTATCTGTAGAATGACAAAGCTGAAAATTTGTGAGAGGACTTATTCATCGCTTTTTGTTGCGGAGCTGTATTGTGTGTACCAAAGCTGTTGAAGCGCTGCCGAGCATCACCAGTAACACACCATGGACAATGCAACCCATTGATTTAAAAATTCAGCTTACCAGCGTTTTTTCCTGGGACGATCTGTGACTAGCACTAAATTAAATTATGTGCTTAGGCCTTCGGGAGGATTCGTAGTGACGGGCAAGGCCACCTCATCGTATCTTACAGCCAAGTTGGCGAGTCTGCACAGCTACCTCTCGACGAGTCGTTCGCCTCCTTAAATATACATAAGACTATCGATGGCTTTACAGAGGCTCAAATCTCACACCTATATCTTGTTTTATTCTGGCGTTTCCGACCTTTGTAAGATGGTGTGTTGCTCGTTCTCCCCCAACTTACACTGCTATGCTAGAGTCAAGCTGTGAAACGAGCGATCGAAACTGTGTCTCCTTGTGCGACATGTATATCTACTCTACCGCATGCAAACTAATCACTGAGAATATATGCTGCACAATGCTGTACAGAGAAGCTGTCATTTCCTCGAGAAGGCTGATGAGAGTCATCTCGCCACTAACAACGACGACAGGAGCTGCGAGAAGCTACTCTAGCTCTGCAAAATGATAAACTGAAGTACACCTAGGCTCACTTGACTACCGCAAATGGGATCTAGGCACACGGGCATTTGCGCAAATACGTATTCATGTGCTACTGACAGCGCATGTCTTATGCTTTCGTTATTAAAGGTGCAGGATTGTGATTCAACGTGATTCAATGTGATTCAACTACACGAGAATCGATTATGCACTGGCTTTTGCCGTGAAAGGCCCGTATAGTTATCCTGGCGATGAAGTCCATTTGGAAGTCTGCCGTCTGACTGTGGGTGTCTATGTCTCACTAGTGTGAACAACCCTTGAGTTCGTGGGCAAAACGTATATTGCACAGCGTTCTCTGCTGCTACTACTCCCTGGTGGGCAAATAGGGCGCCCTTCTGACAATTCCTCTACATTCGGCACATATCTCATAAAGCAACACCAAGTGATCCATAACCCGCAATCCTTCGAGTCTCTCAATCTAACTTTCTCAAAACGATCCCAATCACAGTTCTAGCTTCCTTCACCCGGCTGCACAGGTGCCCCCCACAGGTGCCTGCGTTATCGCCAGCCCCAATCTCAGGGTATTCACAAACACTTCGAGTTTACACATACTATCTTGCTGATAAATTGCCTTACGTCGTTACATAATAAGACGTTTCTACGCTCGTTAAGCATGTTAACCTCTTATTGGTCACCAGCTAGATACCCTCATGAGGTCACCAGCGAACTCTATTGTAGTCCCTGTGCACTACAGAACCCAGGTTGTTGGCAGCTCAAACTACATTACGGGGCCACAAAGTTGGGAGCTACCACGTCGTCAAGTGACTTTTCATGCTTTCTGAAGTGCTGATTGAGTGGTGAAAATATCGGTTGCCCTATTCGGATGACAACGCCTGATAAATCAGTGTTTCAGCGCAAAGTCTGCAACGCTGGATGAATTCATTGTAAGATACTGCCATTTCGACTTGTGGCAGTCTTCATGTGCAGCAAAAGCAAAAATATACTTGAATTTT